TTATTGTTTAGTGTTGTATGGCCCCGGTTATGCACAGTATATATGTGACTGTATGAAAATGAAATATGGAAAATAAAAACACATTTTACAACATAATATAACTTTCGTTTATTTTGCGTATGTACCCAAAAAATAAAAAATAAATATATTTTGATTTTTATTAAAGCATATGTTTTTTATGAGGGGTACTCAGCGTTACGAAAATTATAGAAGGGGTACACATATGTCAAAAGTTTGGGAAACACTGTGCTACAACATCCTACCTGTCTATGACTATTTCAGCTTCAATCTCAATAATACATAGGCAAAAAATAGATACAAACTCAAGGTAAACTGCTCCAAACTCCATTGCAGAAAATATGACTTCAGCAACAGAGTGGTCAATGCCTGGAATGCTCTACCTGACTCCAACTCACAACTTCAACCATAAATTGTCTACCGTGGATCTCATCCCATTCCTAAGAGGGCCATGAAGGAGGTGTGCATAAGCTCACCAACATGCCTACCCTCCCTGTCCTACTGTCGCCATTTATTTGTAGTCATTTCCTTTATTCATTTCCATGTTTATATTATACCTGTTATCTTGTACATGTTCGACAAACTAACTAACTGAATGAATGAATGAATGAATGAATGAATGAATGAATGAATGAATGAACGAACTGGAGCTGCCTGGAAGCAAGGGGAAATTAGCAAAGACTAGCAGAAAAGTGGTTTTATTGTATCTGCAGTGACCTGCCTGATACCCTTGATAGTGGGGCTCCTGCTGAAATCGTAAGGAAGGAAGAAAGGTTTCATTACACTGATGATCTCCTGGCTTGTAATAATTAAACGGATCAACTTCATTCCTCTTCAGATTCAGAGGGCATTTCAAAGTCAGCTTCCCATCAGCTGCACAAGGAAGCAGAAGGAGGAGGAAAAGAAGGAGAACCATCTGTCTTCCTAAGTCAATTTGCTGCCTTGTGGATTTTTTCTTTTTCAAACCATGTCAGAAGCAGAAGCCAACATCTTTTCAAGGGTTGGAGGGTTTCCCCAGTTTTGCCAAGTCAAATGGGATCCTGTGAGTCATCATGTCCAAGGGGAATGAGGGGAATTCATTCCAGCAAAACTTGCTTGATCTCCAACATTTCTCCCTAGTTTTCATTGGAACAGGAAGACTTGAGGCATTCAGCATTTCCCATCTAGCATTCACTTATTTCTTTTCTTTCTTTCTTTCTTTTTTTCAGGCTGAGGTTTACATCCATAAATATTTCTGGGGGGACTCTCCCTTGAGGTCTGAGACAAGAGAACAGGCAAATCACTGTGATTTGGATAATGTGAAGGAGAAGAAGCATCACTGAAAACTCTGTTGAACTCTAAGGGGATTAGGAAGTTTTAGATATGACTTCAGGCATTAAGATGGGCTGGTGACTGAGTTGAAAGAATTTGGCCCATCTCTTACAATCATCATATGGATGAGTTGGAATGGATACTCTAGGTCAGAACTATTAAACTCATGGCCTGCTGGCTGGATGCGTCACATGCTGGCTACGTACATGCCCAGTTTAGTGAAGGGGGGAGTCCTGATACGTCACGTGATGACACCGTGAGGATGTGAATTTGACACCCCTACTCTAAGTCATTTAGTCTAGACTAGTCTAGACTTCCTGACTGCCTGCTGAGTCCCACCAGCTGGCATTGCTTAATTGCTGTATTCCGCAGTATGCCAAACCATACTGGAAGGGCAGAGACTACAGAAGACAGTCTTGATGCCAGGGAGGACTTTATAGGTGATTTCATGTATCTTAGATTGCAACCAGAAGTTAAGGACCATCAGTGAAGCTCACAGAGGTATTACATAGCCAACCAGGCAATGCCCATAACTCACAATACTGGATGAATTCTGGATCACCTGTCACTTCTGAGCCTTCTTCAAGGTCAGCTCTATATAGAACACATTGTATTAGACTTCCAGTTGCACGGTTAATCTTATTCCCAGAAGAAAATCTTGTAAGCTTAGTTTTCTTGAAGTCATCCAATAAGTTTCCACATCTAAGAAGAGATTTAAACCTG